TCTAGTGGTGCTTCCTGGGTCAGTGCTTCACACTGTGCAGCACCTACGTTAATGTTCCCTATACGGATGCATTGATTCAATGCATCTCTATGAGAAGTTAAATTGGCGCAGTGGCATTTTGCCATGCATGCGCAATAGTCTCCCAATGCTTTGCTATGAGGAAGCATTGGATTGTCTGAGATCGTCAAGATTGAGGATTTCAGTCATGGAGGTGGGGCCAGCCACAGCATGGAAAAAAGGTGAGTTAAAAAACAAAAACAAAACCCTTTCCCATGTGATTGGAGGGAACACACACACTTACTGACTGACTCAGACTCACTCACAGACAGACACAGAGACAGACACACACTCACAGACATACAAACACACACACTCAGACAGACACACACACTCAGACACACTCACTCACAAGTAATTACATTTTTATTTAAATTTAAATCCACCCAGCCTCCCTACCTCTAGAGAGCTGGAGAGAATATGCTTTCCCTGGGGTCTAGTAGTACTGCTGTCATCTCCCTACTCGGCTCCCTCTCAAGCATTGTTTAGTGAGCCAGGGGCCAGAGTGACATCATAACCCAGCTCAGTGAATCACTGCAAGCCGTGCAAGGGAGCAGAGCAAGGAGATTACAGCTCCTTCGCCGTGGCACTAAGTCAGCCGCCCGCCTCCCTCTGCTCTCCATTACCTGGCTGCTCCCCTCCGTCAGCTGCCCACCTTTTCTACCACAGCTCTCCATGGGCCAGCCACCCTCTCCCTCCCTCTGCAATAAATGAGCTGGCCGTCCAATTCCCTTTGTCAGCCGCCTGCCTTCCTCCCACAGCTTTCCATGAACTGGCTGCCTCCTCCCTCCTTCAGCAGCCTGCCTCAGTCCTCAGTGATCCCAATGCCTGCTTATGCTCTCAGGTAGCCGATCACCGTGGGGGCTGAACATATATATATTTTGATATAATACACATATATTAATATACATTTGTGCAAATATATAGATGCATAATACTCCCACAAATCACCAAATCACATAGATAAAGCAAAACTATATAAAATTATATATAATTTTTTTTTTAGATTCAATTTATTTTAAATTTAAAAAAAAACATAGACAGACACATGGATTTTTAATTAATAAATACTCACTGGCACACACAGGCGTGTAGTCACTGATGCCCATTGATACTGACATGTACTCATCAACAGACACTGGCACACAAACTAATGCTGCATCCCATACAAACACTGGCACACAATCACTAATGCTAACACACTCCCTGACATACACACACACATTGATCCACACTGACACATTGATCCATACTGACACACACACACACATTGATCCATACTGACACACACGCACATTGATCCATACTGACACATTGATCCATACTGACACACACACATTGATCCATACTGACACGTTGATCCATACTGACACACACACATTAATCCATACTGACACACACACACACATTGATCCATACTGACACATTGATCCATACTGACACACACACACACATTGATCCATACTGACACATTGATCCATACTGACACACACACACACACATTGATCCATACTGACACACACACACTGATCCATACTGACACACACACACACACACACATTGATCCATAATAACACACACACACACATTGATCCATACTGACACACACACTACAAAAATACACACCAAACACACTCACAACTACACCCTCAAATATAAACACTCTAAGAATCAGTACAATTAAAATGAAATGCCTTGGTGCCTCTGCTCACTGAGCCTACCTTGCTCCTTCCCAGCAGCTTCCCTCCAGCTCTCTCACAGGGCTCCCTGCCTGGCAGCACTTTACACACAAGAAGCAAGACTTCGGAAGACCCGTGTGGGCTGCCCTGCTCTGCCTCATTGCCAGGTCACATGCTTCCTGTGTGTGAAGGCTGTCAGGCAGGGACCGAGACTTCCATCCTCCCTGCACTCACTCCAGGCTCACGAGCAGCATTGAAAGTTTTAATTACTGCACCTGCTGCTCGCGAGTGGATAAGGAAAGCCTCTTCTAGAGGTAAGAGGTGACCTGTGCTCCCCAGTACCCCCAATGTGAGAGTGTGTGTACTGGGTGGGGAGAGGAAGGGCTACTGTAGGTGCCCCTGCTACGGGCCTACCTGGAAATTCTCGTATCCTCGTGGGCTGTCTGCCTCCTGCATATGTGCCTAGCTGGATCGGGCTGTAGTTTGGAGGGGATGCCCTTATGCAAAGAATTCTCGCTGGTTTGTGTTCGCGTATATACTATTGGTAGTGCGTGGTGGGCAAAGCGTCGGAGTGTGCTCAAGTATAATGACATGTATTTACCTTCTGGGTCAATGTGTTGTGGGTTTTGCTAACCAATATGAGGTGCTCCTTAGTTTTGGCCCATCTCGCCCCTTGCCCCATACAATCAATTTAACTTGATATTTACAGTTACACTTGTGTTATACTGACAGGATCAAGAGGGGAAAACAAAAACCGAAAAAGAAAAGGAATGTACTTTTTCATACAGGCCTGAACCAACAACGTAGTTTTCTCTCTGACAGGTTGACACTTTGCCCCCTTAAGGTGTGAGTTACCGCTTAGCTTTCCTCCATGATGGAGGGAGTCTCTGAGTCTCTTGTGTAGTGGGTTGGAAGTCAATGCCCCAGCTCTTGAGGGTTTTTTTCTCCTTCATTTGGTGTTTGCAGGATGGTTGTTTTCCTGTTCCTCTGTATCACCAGCTTCACCGGGTAGCCCCATCTATACGGGATGCTGTTTTCGTGGAGGTGTGCGGTGATTCCCGCAAATTCTTTTCTTCGTTTGAGCGTATATGCTGAGATGTCGGCGTAAATTGCGATGGTTTGGTATGTCGTTGGCAAGTCAGCTTTTTTCCTTGTTCTGTTTGCTCTCATAACCTCTTCTTTTATGTGGAAATAGTGTAGCCTCAGCAACACATCTCTGGGTGTCTCTGCCAACAGGAAGGAGGGTTTTGGCACTCTGTGTGCCCGGTCCATGAGGAGCATGTCCTGGGGTATCTCAGGAGTGAGGGCCTTAAACAACCCCACTAGGTAAGCCGTGTTGTTGTTCCATCTAC